CAGCGTTCTTCTCTGCGTGAGTAGCTTAATGTTGCTCGTGTGTAATTTACGTTGAGTAGGCTAACCACGTTATTAAATTAATGCATGTAAGGTGAACTAGCAAACACTGTCGTAGTTACATGCGGCTGTCTTCTTGTTTGATGGCAGATACTAACTTCACCCTGGCCAAAAAGGCTAAAATAACCAAAGAAAAAGTGGAAAACAGCTAAACATGAGAGATTTTTGGACAAAGTTTGTGTTTTCCCATTGTTTAAGCACTGCTTCCTGCCAAGAGTGATACCATATATGCCCCAGAGCTGCAGAAAATGCTAACATTGTTATCTTTTTACAAAAAGCTAAACATGAGAGGTTTTGGGACAAAGTGTGTGTTCTCCATTCTTTAAGCACCGGTTTGAGCACCGGCACCGTTTCAAAAGTACCGGTTTGGCACCGGTATCGGATAAAACCTAAACAATACCCATCCCTACTGTCACCCAGAGTAACCTCACACTGTGCGAAAATGGTATTTAAAGGATAATTGATAACAACAACCAGGGCGTCAGGGGCCAGATCAGAGCCATCACTGTTCATTATTTTCAATCTTAAACTCAGTTGTGTGTCAATTAAATCCAGGTAATGCAAGCCATTTCCAGGCATGGACTCTTCAGTTATGGCTGAAACATGGAGCATCTCCATGTAACATTTCTTCTCAATTGAAAACAGGGTGAGGGGGGCTGTGAAGAGATCCTTTTAACACTTTTTTACACACGCACACACACACACATACACACACACGCACGGGTCCCCAAAAACAGTTGTCTAAAAAGGATGTAATTTTTTTGTCAAAAAAGTAAACCTTTTGGCTTTAACATCCAAACATCCTATTCATCATCCTATTACATCACCATACTTCCATGATGATATATTTTTGGTCATATGATTATTTATATTGTTTATTATATATTTTTATGATATTCATAAAAATTATGACTGTCGTAAACCTTTATTACTTCCTTTATTACTTCTTCTGTCATACATCATTTGACGGCGGGTCATAAATCACTGGTTTGATACAAAGTACCTATTATCCCTCCAATTGGATACTTCCAATAGGGTTAAAATCTGGGACTCTCCACCAGTTTCTCTTAGAACTGAAGAAGCTTCTCAGATGAGTGGTGAAACTTCTTTTTTTTTTTTTTGTCATTTTAAAGATATCTGTATAAGTAATTGTATTTTACAATTCTTCAGCCAGTTAGAAATACGGGTTGCAAGGATAAAGAGTTGAGTATACATAAAAGAAAAAAAGATAAGTGTAAAACAAGGTTTTTTTAACTTATCTAATCCGTAGCTAAACTACGGAGGAATATTTGTGTTGGTTTTTTGGGTGGAGGTAGCACAGACTTGATTATACTGCTCTTGCTGTATCAGTAAACACAGGTGTCATAAAATAAACAAGGGATGGGCAGTTAAAATAAATTTAACATAGCCACAGTTGGACAAAGGTTTATTGTAATATGTTTTCATTATTTACCTTCCACCAGTTGAAATCTTCCTCCGAGGGTTTATGTTTCTTTGACATTAAAGGTTTAGGAGATTCACCAATGATGTCATTAAACCAAGGATCACTGTCTGTTAGACATTTGTGACAGGCACAAAGTCTTGACTCCTGATGACAGAAGGTATATCCAGATAAATTCCATAAAAGGATGGAGACCAAAACAATTGCTGTGATATTCAGTAGTGGGGAAATGTGCACTCTGAATTTTCCCCTTTTGAAATACATCTTGATGGAGTTCCAATCTGTGAACAAATACAATGTGAGTGAATGTGAAAACTAGCACTAAGCCTTTAAGAAGACAGTAACAGAAATGATAACTCTTTAATTAAAATTATTTATAGTTTGCAACATATTAAGAGCACTGCACTGGAAGGCAGAAAAATCAGATAAACATAGAAGGTTTAATGTCCTCTTGTATTTATGGTATTTGCACAGAT